CTCTAGCCCAGGCAACACAGTAAGACTCTGTCTCAAAAAAAAAAAAAAAAAAGAATAATTTATTGGGAAAATGGAACAATTCAAAGACTAATTATTACCCTGATGCAATCATTTATTTGGCCAGCCGATACTTACTGCATGCTGTTTTAGAATATAGTAACAAACAGCACCGCTATCTTGCTGGTTTGGTGAAGTAAAAGTTCATTCTCATTCATACTGAGTGTGTTGTGTGTCCCGGAGATTCTCTTGAGCAGCTGTAGTCTGTATGTTAGCTTAGCAACCTGCTCAGCAATCCAGGTGGCTTTGATCTAATGGCACCTCCCTACTAAAATGTGGTTTACAATCTCTTCAGTAGAGGAAGAAGTTTAAGTTTATGTGACCACATATCACTTTCCATTGCAGCCTTTTGTCTAGAACTAGAGGGAAGCCTCAGAGGACTGGGGAATGTAGTCCTTTGTCTGTTTAGGAAGTGGAACTGGAACTATTGGTTAGCACTTGAACGTCAATCACATATGCCTATAGCGCAAGCGAAATCTACTAAACACCAGAAGGGCAAAAGGACAAAGCAAGCAATAATTAAACCAGAAGATATATTATGGTATTGTTAGTTTGCTAATCTAAGGCATCTTACTTGACTACTAAAGTATCAAACAGCATCACTTACTCTTCTGACTTAACAGCAGGACACAATCAAACCAGGGGGACAAAAGAACATGATATTGCAAACAGTGCAAAGTGCCTGGCGTCAGTCTGCAAGAAGTGGAAATGGCAGGAGCTGAGGCTGGAAAAGTTAGCAGGGGCCGGGTTATGAAGGGCCTTGTACGCCACTCTCAGGAGTTCAGCACAAAGGTTCACTGAAAGGCTAGGCGAGTAAATGTGCTGCATCTTAGAAAGATAAATCTGGCTGCAGGATGGACAACAACCTGAAGTGGGATAAAACAACCAATAGGCACCTGCTATGGTCTGAATAATGTGTCCCTCCAAATTCCTGTTAGAATTTGGACCCAATGTGATACTTTTAATAGGTGGGGCCTTTTGGGAAGTGATTAAGTCATGAGGGATCCACCCTCATGAATTGGATTAGTGTTTTTTTTTTTTTCTTTTTTGAGACAGAGTCTCATTCTGTTGCCCTGGCTAGAGTGCCGTGGCATCAGCCTAGCTCACAGAAACCTCAAACTCCTGGGCTCAAGCGATGCTCCTGCCTCACCTCCCGAGTAGCTGGGACTACACGCATGCGCCACCATTCCTGGCTAATTTTTTCTATACATATTTTTAGTTGTCCAGCTAATTTCTTTCCATATTTTTTCAGTAGAGACAGGGTCTCACTCTTGTTCAGGCTGGTCTTGAACTCCTGAGCTCAAAGGATCCGCCCGCCTCAGCCTCCCAGAGTGCTAGGATCACAGGCGTGAGCCACCGCGCCCGACCATAATAGCCATTCTTATTGGTATAAGATGATATCTCATTGTGGTTTTAATTTGCATTTCTCTGATGATTAGTGATGTTGAACATTTTTTCATATGCTTGTTGGCTATGTGTTTGTCTTCGTTTAAAAAATGTCTATTCATGTCCTTAGCCTATTTTTTAATGGGGTTAGTTGTTTTCTTGTTGTTGTTGTTGTTGTTGTTTGAGTTCCTTATAGATTCTGGATATTAGTTCCCTGTTGGATGTAGTTTGCAAATATTTTCTCCCATTCTGCAGGTTGTCTACTCACTCTGTTGATTACTTCTTTTGCTATACAGAAGTTTTGTAGCTTAAATCACATTTGTTTATTTTTGTTTCTATTGTCTGTACTTTTGAGTTCTTTGTCATGAATTCTTTGTCTACACCAATGTCCAGAAGAGTTTTCCCTAGGTTTTCTTCTATTTTTATAGTTTCAGGTCCTACATTCAAGTCATTAATCCATCCTGTGTTGATTTTTAAAAATGATGAGAGATACGGGTTCAGTTTCATTCTTATTCATGTGGTAGTCCAATTTTCACAGCACCATTTATTGAAATGTGTGTCCTTTCTCCAATGTATGTTCTTGTCAAATTTTTCAAAGATCAGTTGGCTGTAGGTATATGGCTTTGCTTCTGGATTCTCTCTATATATTCACTTTAAAATGTTTTCATTGTATCTGCTTAACATGTACTCATACCAAGTGTTCATGGTATAATTGGATTAGCAGTAGCAGTAATTTCCTCATTGTCATTTCTTTTTTAAAATTCACTTGTCTTTTCTCATGATTCTTTAGAAATCGCTTGTCCTCAGCCAAACGTGCCACATGGAAGTATTATCTCTGGATTTGGACCCATCTATTCCTACAAAGACACTATTGTGTTTAGCTGCCAGAAAGGTTTTATTCTCAAAGGCAGCAGTTTAATACATTGTGAAGCTGACAACAAGTGGGATCCTTCTCCTCCTACTTGTGAACCCAGTAAGTATGGACCATGAAGGAATTTCAACATTTGGCATCTAAAGGTAACCAGAAATGTTTGTGTGGGCATACTTGCATGCCTACACCCACTTTGAATCACAATAAAAATTTAAATTTAGATCAATAATTTCTTTTTCTTGTTGGAAAGAATGATTTCAGTTATTGTGCAAGGTCATATCAGTAAAAAAGGCTGCCACATACAGTTGTGCAGGTTGTGCACACTCCAACCCTAAGGGAAGCATTGACGTTGTAGACATTGTGGATTAGTGTATTTATTTTAACAATTTTCTGCTAGTTGATAGAAAATTGTCTTATTTTAACAAAATCATCATATTATGATCGTTATTTTGAAAGATAAATAACAAAGTGTCCTGAGGAAAAATACCTTCTTCTAACTTGCACAAAAATATTATATGGACCAGCTATGATTCTGACACTCTGCAGTCATAAACTTATGTGGATTATTATTAATAAAAATGATAATCATAATAATGATAATTTAGCACTTGACTAGATACATAACACGAATTAACTCAGTGAATCCTCCCAATGATTGTGGACACTATTATTATCCTCATTTTACAGATGAGGGAACTGTTCACAAAGATTAAAGGACTTGCCCAAGACCATCCAACTGGTAATGGGAGGAAGTCATTGATGTCTTGTTCTCTTACTTTTGCCCTTATGAAATGTCAAGACCTATATCCTGGGGACATCTGGAATAGTGGTATGAGGAGTTTGAGGAGAACTCTCCCTGTAGAGGTATCCACTAAGCTGGTCAAAATCAGCAATGAAAATCATTCAAGGTCTCTGGAGATTGATCAAAGTGCTTACAACAAATTGAGAAGCATTTATTCAGCAAATATAGGGTGACTTGTCATGAACAGTGGGAGGCCATTGCATTAGAGCTAGAGATTGCATACAGCCACCAACAGCTCTACCTTGTGGGAGAACTGTTTCTGTGGGGTTTACGAGTGACACTTCCCACCTTCCCCAGCTCCCTGGCATGTAAAATGTATTTGGGGTAGATTTGGCAATGAGTGAACATTATGTGATAGCATTTTCCAAAACTCTATGCTGTGGAAGACCTATATTGAAGAGGTGGCAGCAGCCAGACATCAGTGTCTGCTCCTCCACCCCAATTCCCATTATATAGGGAGGATCTAGGTGGGAAAGTGATAAAGAATTTGGTCCTCCTTTCCTGCGTGGCTTTGTGTTGCAGGAGAGCTGTTCCAGTGGGCTCAGTAGCAAAGCGACATCTCCTATCCTCCCCGGCTTCCTGGATGGAAGAACTATTGTGGGTAGATTTGACAGGTTGTGAATATTGGCAGATCTTATTCTCCCAGCTTGGTCTTTGGAATATGTATACTTTCTTGGTGGTGGGCAGTACCAGTTCCCACTCCCTCTTCCCCTCTCCATAGCTCCTACACCATAGGAAGGACTCTGGTGAGGCATCTGGTGAAGAATGAGTTCCCTAATTTCCCCCAGCTCCTGACCCATAGAACAGAAGTTTTTCCAGAGGAGATACGGAGCAAGCTTCAAAGACTGCCAACACTCCCTGCCAAGGGGCCCAACTCCAATTGGATCAGACTATGGGGCAATTTATGCCCTATTGAATTATAAAAAAAAAAAATAGAGAAATCAGTTAATAATTACTGGAGTCTAACAATTGTATGTAATACCCACAAAGGCAGACCAGCCAAAAGCCTCGTGGAAAAGAGACAGTCAAAGAGAAAACCACCAACATCCTTGGTGGTTTGGAAGACGGCATGCACGCCCAAGGCTATGCTCTCAGAGGAATGCTATTAGATGTCGCACACTTTGGTGGAAATAAACTTAACTGAAATAGTCCAGCCAACTCACTAACAAATAAGCAAACAAGGAAACAACAATGGGCCCTGAAGGTGTTGAGGGAAAATCAGTATCCAAAGTCACTACAATATATTATCTAACATGTCAAATTTTCAACAAAAAATTATCAGACACGTAAAGAAGCAGGAAAAAGTGACCCATATGAAGGGAAAAAAGCCAATGATAGCTGAATGAACACAAGACACCTTTTGATAGGACAGGCTCATTGACTGCTGTGGCAGTCCCACTAACAGTGTCCTTTTCACTTGTCCTTCTTTTTATGTGTAGATAGTTGTACTGACTTACCAGATATTCCACATGCTTCCTGGGATAGATATCCGAGGCCAACAAAAGAGCAAGCGTATGCTGTTGGGACTGTGTTAAAATACCACTGTCTTCCTGGCTATAAACCCGCCGTGGATGAGCCTACAAGTGTGACTTGTCAAAAAAATTTGAGATGGACCCCCTACAAAGGGTGTAAGGGTGAGTTTTTATTTTTAAAAATGTTTGTATATTAAATGTCCAGTATGTGCTAGGATTCTCTACCTTAAATGAATGTCATTTTATCCTTCAAAATAAATTTAGAATTATATTAATTCAACAGAATAGTGAAGCGTTATTGTCAGAAGGGACCATAAACTTAGAGTTTGAGGTGCCGAGAAATTGTAACCTTTCTACATCCCAGATCAGAATAAAGTGAGAAATAGACCCAGAAGTCAAACAGTATGCAGGTTAAGTATTAGCTTCCTTACTGGGAAAACTAGAATGGAGAATACAGCTCAACTATTGCTGGGGTCAGACTTTCTTCACAGCCCTTACCTTCCCACTGTAGACTTTGGGGTGCTTGGCTCCAAAAGTCTAGGAAACAGTCATGAACACAGCCAGCTGCAAGGTGACTTGTGTCTCATACCTCTTGAGCCATGAGATGGCAGGTTGACAGAGCTGGGTCTCCTGATCTGCCTCTGGAAGACAGATCCTGACTCCTGACCCCAGGAGGATAGAAAGGAGAGTTTTTCCAGTTTCACATCCTCTGATTGTGGGAATGAGTGAGGGGCTGAAGGGGAAGTGGATGCTATTTTATGGGCGTCAGTAGATTTGACAAGAGAGGGAGAAAATGCTTCCTTCTACTCGTCTATCAGAACCTTGCCATTTTAGAGGTGAACACACTAACTCCCAGAATACAGGGAATTTTGTGCTGCAGATCAGGATTTGAAAAATATGTGAAATGCATAAATAATGAAAAGTGGTAGTTTAGATCAACTTACCAGAAGATTACTTAATAAAGTTTAATTGCAATGATTCAGACTCCTTTTGGGGAAGTAGAATGAAAGATTTTTAATAAAAGGACTAAATTAAAAATATATTTAACAAAACATATTTCCACCTAAATAACAAAGTATTGCTTATAGATGTTTAGAAACCTACACTCTTGGTTATATTTATTTTATCCATTATGGTCTTATTGATTTAATTACTTAATAAAGCATATCTGTAACTGTTTAAAAAGCAGAAGTGAAAGGTATTTTTCCAAGTTACGAAATCTGATCAAATATGAATTTAGACTCACGACTTACATATTTAAAAATTTTCTGTACTATAAAGCATTACATAAATATTATCGTTGTTACAATATAGGAACCATATGAATGTTGGGCATTTTTATTGTAATTCATATACAAATGAGCACTGAAAGTATTTGAGTATGCCTCAAAGACCCCATGGCAGTGCTGGCCAAGCTCCTGTTATGGACAATAGAGCACATTATTCTGTTCTGATGTTTTCTCTTATATCAGGCAATATCAGGTTCTATCTTAAAGTATTTATACTAATGAAAGAAAAATTATATCCCTATATCAGCCCCAATTATATTAAAAATGAAAGAATTTAAATAGCTATTTCTCTTAAATTTTGCATCAAGAAAGAAAAGTTCTTGCCCTAACCAGTAATTTAAATTTATTTCTATGCATTAGCTTTCAGGTGGATGTAAACTTTTGAGAACTTTCTTCTTCCTTGTCACATGAGAAGTGTAAGTTAACAGAGAGCTTAATAATGATGCAACTCTAATAAAGGTATAAGTTTATGGATGTTATTTGTCATTGCTCTTGAAAATTTTTGAAAATTGACATTTTCATACAGCTTTAATACACCTTTTCATTTTGGAGGCTACTGATGAAATTGCTTAGTTGGAGGGAAATGACTGGGTTAGGGTACTTTAGCAAATCAGGAACAGGGAGAGCAGACTTGGAGTGTTTTGAGTCTCTTTTCCTATTTCCCCAACCTCTCTTCGGTGGTGAGATCTTCCAAAGGTGGAAATAAGATTGCTAGCCATAGGAGCCTCCTCAGGGTGATTTTACTAACCATTTGCTTCACTTTTTATTTTTTAGAGTTATGTTGCCCCATACCAGAGCTAAACAATGGTGAAATCATTCAACACAGAAAAAATCGTCGCACCAATGACTGCATGTATTTCTATGGAGACGAGCTTTCGTATTTATGTACTGGGTACCTAAGATTTTCAGCTACGTGTCAACCAGATGGCACATGGAGTCCCCGTACACCGTCATGTGATGGCAGTAAGAGCTCATAGAATTATATTATGTTGGGAGCTTCTTCATAACACTGTGATGGAGATTATTAAGAAGGTTTAAAATTAGGTAAAAGAATTTATATACCCTGCATGATTCTTAGAGTAGATCCAACTTTCTCTTTTTTCCTCCTACTGTTTGTTCCCATTCTTTCGACCTTCCCAGTTTCCTCTTCTTTTCTGAATCAGACCTTATCTAATAGATAAGCTGAACTTTTCAATTACTGTGTTTTGTTTCTTTGGGTTTATTCTCTTTTCTTCCCTTATTTCTGGCCCACGTGTCTTAATGTGCACAACAAGACCTGTCCACATCTATTCGAACCTGCCTTTCTGAACTTGTTTCCTCCTGCTGCCTCTGAGCCTTCTCATCAGACTGTCGCCCCATGTGAAATTCCTCCGTCTCCCCCACCAAGAGGCTCCAGTGCTAAACACATCCCGCCCTTTTCCACTTTGTGTTTGATCGCCCCGTCTATTGAGGATCAGGACCCATCCCCCTGCCAGGATAACGATTTCTCTTCTTGTCTTCTGTCCAGGAAGACCAAAGGAGCCCAAAGTGGCCAGGCATTAGTTACAGCTTACAAATTAATAGGAAAGTCCCTATCTGCCCTGGTAGAAATGTTTCCACTTTGCCAACCAGGACTTTTGAACCTGCAGATTCCAGAGTTTCAGGCATGAGAAGCACAGGGAATTCCTTATGGCTTTGGTAAATATTGTATCCTCCAGGACTTCCCACATGGCATAATCACCTGGCAGATTTTCCAGTGTATGTATATGTTCACTCCAGCACGCTCACTTCCCTGAATTATTTAATTCCTTTTTCTACCATCGGCCATGGAAATTCCAGCATTTCAATCTCACTTCTACTTATTGGTGGGCCATCACTTTTTTCATGCTTTCGGTAGCATCTTAGTATAGCACTCATAACTACTAGAGTTCTTTGCTACTTTATTTTATTTAACTTTCTCATGCAGTGTTTGTGGACCCTGACAATGTTTCCTTTCAGAAAGGTGCTTGGCACCATATCCTTTTTATTTCAGTGTGAAAGTCCTCATTTTCATTCTTCCTATGAGCTCTTTTCTAAAATGTTTAAAATGCAGTAAGTATTTTCTTGGTGAGGGTAGATGGACACTTTTGTTTGGGGAGCAATGACTCAGAGATTGTGGATGTTTTAACTTCCTTACAGTTTCTCACAGATGTGCATCTCTGTATTTAGCCAGGAAGGGGCTAAGGGTACCACTAATATGAAGTGACCTGGGGCTGAGTCCAGCCTTCATATCAAAATGATCCCTAAACAATGTGAAGCTGAGTGGACTTGTCAATAAGATGAAGAAAAACCTAAGGGCTTGTAACTCGAGCTTTTCCACAGTTCCTCAGCCTGAGGTTTACAGGAGGGCAGCATGAGTGTGTGGGTTTGGCCAAGTGACCTTATGGGCAGAGAGGCTAGAAGGACAGAATGAAGGCTCCTATAAACCACACACATTCTGGGATGTGCTGTTTTATACTTTCTACAAGCTCACGCTCTCTCGCTTTTATGTCTCCCCATCAAGATTGCCATTTTCCTCCTACCATTGCCCATGGACATCATAAACGACCTATTACATACAACTTATTCAGAGAAGACGTTATTTATGAATGTGATGAAGGATACACTCTGGTTGGACAGGCAAAACTCTCCTGTAGTTCTTCACTCTGGACACCTTCAGCCCCTCAGTGTAAAGGTAAATCCAGCTCCCTTTTCAGCCCATGGCTAAGTGTGTGGAACTGTCATGAGAGCACTGAGAGTAAAGTGTCTCCCCTGCCAGAGGCAGCATGAAAACATCTGATTTGATTTTATCTATTTTAAGTAATCAGCATATGCAAATGGTACCCAATGCAAAAAGTGCAAAGGGAACACACAAATGCTGATCTCCTCCACTTCTTTCTCCTAGTCACAAAATTCAACTTTCTTGAGGTAGCCCCTATTTCCAATTTCTTGTATATATTTCCAGAAAAATTCTAGAAGCATCACATTTTATATGAGTTTACCTGTGAGCCTATGGCAAAATTTTCATGGAAATTTGCTCTAGCATGAATGTAGGCTCTCTTGGGCTAATTCCAAAAACCATGAATGACAGGTATTTCCATCAGAGCCTTGTGTGGGGCACCACCTGCCAGAACATAGGTATGTGTATATGAGGGGGGACTCCTACTTTGCAGCCTATTACAGGGACAGGTGGAATCAAAATTGGGTCTGATTTTTATATGGATACAGATTTGCTATTAACATGTATCATTTTGCTGTGAACAATTTCAGGATTTATTTGATATTGTCTCCATTGCACATAGGAGAATAATAAGCAAGAAGGAAATTTTTATACTTAGAATCTTATAGCAATCAAGACTGGGAGTAAGAATTACCTTGCTAGCTGAGAATTTGGAATCATGTACCTTCTTTTAAAAATATTCTGTCACGTTATTTAAAAATGTTATGACCCTGAGCAAATTTCTTAACCTTTGTGTATCTCAACTTTCTCCTACGTAAAATGGACATAGTAACACCACTCACTTCACGGGGCTATTGTGAAACTTAAATGAGATAATCCCATGACCTGCTTAGCCCAAAGTCTGATAAGTAGTCATGCCTCATAAAAATGTTAACTAATATTATCAAAATGAAAAAAAGAATAGTTAGTATCACTTAAATATAGTTTGTTCTTTTTATACTAGACTGTTATCATGTCTTTCTTCTTAGATTTACAGATTGTTTAAAAATATGTTTCCATTCTAGCTCTGTGTGTGAAACCAGAAATAGCGAATGGAAAGCTGTCTGTGGATAAGGATGAGTATGTTGAACTTGAAGACATCACCATCCACTGTGACTCTGGCTATAGTCTAGTGGGTCCCGAAAGTATCACTTGCTCAGAGAACAGAACCTGGTACCCAGGGGTGCCCAAGTGTGAGTGGGTAAGCAGCACAATTCATGAAAGGTCTGGGCTATCAATCTCTAAAACTAGCGGTATCCTTCCAAGCTCTGCGCAGTCAGCAATGGTGAGGTCTGACTTGTCAGGATTCATTTCTGAATGACTCAAGAGAACTCTTTCTTTCTCGGTAAAGCACTCTGGTGAGTTAGCAGTGGCAAAGTCACCTGCTCTCGCTTGAGAACAGGAAAAACTGAGCTGTTACAGAACACCGTCCCATAGACGTAAGAGTACTGACTCCTAACTTTACTTTTTCTATACTATATAATATACTGTTGTTCTATTTCTGGAGGGTCACCAAAATAGCTTTTGTTTCTTTGGAAGCTTTCTGGGCAGCTGTCACAAAACAGGTCCATGTCCCTCTGGGAAACACTATTGTGGGACCACAGTGATTTCTAGTTTTCCCTGTCATCCACCAGTCTGAGGTTGGTCTTGGTCCTGATCCTATAGTCCTTCCATTGTCAAGGTGCCGGCTCCCTCATGGTTTGGAGAAGTCTCTCAACCACACTCCCCATCTACCTCTCTTTTAGGAGGTCGTTGAAGGCTGTGAGCAAGTACTCACAGGCAGAAAACTCACGCAGTGCCTCCCAAGGCCGGAGGATGTGAAAATGGCCCTAGAGGTGTATAAATTGTCTCTGGAGATTGAACTACTGGAACTACAGAGAGACAAGGCAAGACTGGCAACTCCAGAGAAAGAACTATAATTTTCCAAAAAGAGGGAGGAAAAACGTACCTTGCTGGCTGGCCTCCTACGATTCAATACACATTACTTAAGTTTAGCACAACTACTTTTGCTTTGGCACTGATACTAATTGTAATAAATATTTAGAAATGATAATTTGTTAAATTTTAGTGCTTTAAGAGTGTAGAATTATTGATCATCTTGTGGCTCATGTTTTTGCTTTTCTGGACACAGAGTGTGCATTTTTTGATTAAAAATGTACATACCAAAAACTACTTTGTTTTTGTGGTCATTTAGGACTCTGAAATAAGGATACTTAACAAATCCATTACATGAGGTTATACTTTTGTTTTATTGTATGGGCCACCAGTATGTGTCCCTGGACCGCCTTCACTCCCCTGGTCCACCTGTGCACATCACTCAGGTCCTCTGGGTTCAGATTAGATGTCAACACATCCCACAGCCGTGTCCATTCCCCCCATGTGAGGGAGTCACGCCCTCCCCTGGACTCCTGTGCCCGTTGTCTTTTGCACTCATGACACAGCTCCACCGTCACCTTCCATGAGGGGGTTCACATTTGTTTTTGACCTGCTCGTTCCAACCCCAGAGAAGGAACTCTGAGAGACAAATGAAGGTGAAGGCCACATGTCAGCCCTCTGCACATTGCCAAGTCTTCCACTTGGTTTGGTCACTGTTTTCTTCACTACTAAATTAAAATGGCTTGAGCAACCGTCCCACACATGAGGGGAAACCCTGTATCAACCTGATGTATATCTCTGGGTACTCTGGAGGCTTTTATTCCTTCAAGTCATCACTTCCTCTGACTCTTGCTTCCTCCGAAGTCTCTTTCTCACACATATCTCATCTCCTCTGGCTGTCTCCTCTCTCCTTGTACACAGAACTCTATGGGGAACGTTGGCCCCTTTGGTTTAACCTCCCTGTCTACACTCTGAGGAGGCAATGGTGTATACATAGTGGGCTTTCACTGAACTTTAGATGAGACAGAGGGTCTTGAACTGTTAGAGAAACCCACTGCTATGGTTCAAACGTTTGTCGCTTCTAAAATTCCTGATGAAACTTAATCCCCAATGTGACAATGTTGATATGTCACATTGGGGATTTAAGAAGTGATTGGATCATAAGCGCTCTGCCCTCATGAATCGATTAATCCATTCATAGATTAATGGATTGTGAGTTAATGGTTTAATGGGTTACCATGGAAGTGGGACTGGTGGCTTTATAAGAAGAGGAAGAGAGACATCCAGCCTGAGCAAGAGTGAGACCCCGTCTCTACTAAAAATAGAAAGAAATTAACTGGACAACTAAAAATATAGAGAAAAAATTAGCTGGGCATGATGGTGCATTTCCGTAGTCCCAGCTACTTGGGAGGCTGAGGCAGAAGGATTGCTTAATCCCAGGAGTTTGAGGTTGCTGTCAGCTAGGCTAATTCCACGATACTCTAGCCTGGGCAACAGAGCGAGACTCTGTCTCAAAAAAAAAAAAAGATAATTGTGAGTTAGCACACTCAGCCCCCGCCATGTGATGCCATGTGTCTCCTTGGGAGTTTGCAGAATCCTAACCAAGAAGAAGGCCCTCACTAGATGCCAAGCCATGTCCTGGGACGTCCCAGCCTCAAAAACTGAAAAAATAAAATTTCTTTTTAAAATAATTACCCAATTTCAGGTGTTCTGTTATAAGCAATAGAAAACAGACCTAGACATCCACTTAACATGGAAGATAGCTACCCATGATCTTAAAAGCCATTACCTAGTAGGCTACCAGGAATTTCTTAGTTTGATGTTTATTTTTTAATTTCCCCTGAGATAAGGATTTGCGGGCAACTAGTTTCCTTGGAAGGTGGTCCCAGAAAGTACTATGAGTGTTGGGTAGTAAGATGAGAAGGGAGGGAAGCTAAAACGGGAACGCTGTTGAGGGGGTTATTGCTGTTGCTAATGGGATTGGTGGGAGTGACAACCTCTCAGAGCATGTGGAACTCAATTCTGAGTTGTCCTCAAATACCGTGCCATATTTGTCCACCCACTCTCTTCCCTCACTGGTGACGTCCCAGACACAGGGCCCCACACTGCTGGCCAGCTGAGGTGCAGGCTGCAAGGACGGGAATCTCCGTCAGGCAGAGAGACACAGGTAGTCAATGACAACTACGCGGCCATTTGCAGTAACCTTTATGATAGGCCCAGGGCACGTGGGCAGGGCACAGACGGCCTCTCCTGCAGTTGCCTTTTCCGCATGGTCCTATCTGTTGACGTGCCGTTCTAGTTTTCCACTCTCTCCCTGCTCAGGTCTCCCGTTTCCCATTGTCAGATCCCTGGATAACTGTGCTTTTCATTGCCCCTAACACAATTCTCTTTGCTTTTATTTAGAGCAAGCTATTTAGTTTTTCATCTCCCACTGTGCTCTGGGCCTATTCTGATATCTCTCATCCAAATTCTTACAAATCCAGTATCTGTTAACACTGCTTACAAAACAACTACAAGTCTTCAAGAAGGCAACAATGTAGTATAATATATTTAATCCTGCCTTTTTGGTTTTGGGCATGAGCCCGTGGTGCCTCAGACATTGTGCACATAGGATGGCCACTTCTGCTCTCATTATCTACATGCCTTGCTCATTATAAATATCATTTTCTCAACATTATTCACTGAAAATATGATCTGAGGCAGTCGACGAGACTGTTAAGAATGTAGGTGAGCCTAAGAGGAGTAGAAAAGCCTTAAGGAGAAATATTTACAAGAGAGGAACTTGTTCAACCTGCTGCTCATTGATGATTTCAGTGAGAGGAAGGATGGAAGGGAGCCTGGATATTTTACACTAAAAATTTTAAATAAATTTTAGAACATACGGAACAATAATTACCATTTTGGCTTATCAGTAGGTGGTCAGATGTAGCATGTTCCAAAAAAACTGAATTGCCATCACAGGCTTATAGTAGCGGTAGCTGTGTAATTGTAAGCCAAGGAAACCCAAACAGATGTTCATTTTTTCCTTTTCAGGTGGGTAGGTTGTGTTTCCATTTTCATTTGTTTCAAGACAATTTTTTAATTTCCTTGTTAATTTCTTCATTGACCCATTGGTCATTCAGGTGCGTATTATTTAATTTCTATGTATTTGTACATTTTTCACAGTTCCTCTTGTTATTGATCTCTACCTTTATTATGTAGTGCTTAGAAAAGAAACTTGATATGATTTTGATTTCTAAAAATTTGTTGAGAGTTGTTTTGTGGTTAAAATATGGTCTATCTTGGAGAATGTTCCATGTGCTGATGAGAAGAATGTGTATTTTTCAGCTGTTGGGTGAAATGTTTTATAAATATCAGCTAAGTCCATTTGATGTAAAGTGTAATTTAACTCAATGTTTCTTTGTTGATTTTCTGTCTGGATAGATCATCTTCAAAGAAGATATATGAACTGCCAATAAGCACATCAAAAGATGCTCAACATCATTAGTCATTAAGGAAATGCAAATCAAAACCACAATGACACCATTTTACACCCATTAGGATGGCTATATGTTCTTTTGAGAATGGAAAATAAGTGTTGGGGAGGATGTAAAATATGTCATATTACCATTGGTGAGAATGTAAAATACCACAGTTCCTGTGAAAACAGTTTGGCAGCTCCTCAAAAAGTCACCACTTCCTTCAATTCTTGCCTCCTCTGAAATCTCATTCTCACTCCTGCTTACCTTCTGTGGCTGCCCTCTGGTTCTCACTGCATCTTGAACATCACCTCTCTTCTTTGATGTCCTCACAAGAGCAGTCACATAAGGAGGTTGCAGAGCAGATACCAATAAGAGAGTGAAAAGGCAAGCCACAGTCTGGAAAACAATATTTTTGGTATTTGTGTCCAAATAAGGACTTATGTCCAAAATATATAAAGAACTTTTACAAATAAATAAGAGGAATATAATCGACCCACCAACAGAATGGACAAAAGACCTGAAGAACCTTCACAAAAAAGGATATCCAGCTGGCCTTTAGACACATCAAAAGTTGTTCAACTTCATTAGTCATCAGAGAATTAAAATTAAAACTACAGGGCCGGGCACGGTGGCTCACGCCTGTAATCCTAGCACTCTGGGAGGCCGAGACGGGTGGATTGTTTGAGCTCAGGAGTTCGAGACCAGCCT